CGTACGACCCCCCCCGCCCCCTCCACAAGTTTGCTCCCCCTATGCCCCTCATTCCAACCTGATTCTTATCTCCACCAATTGGGCTAGCTCCATGGCCTCCCTCAGATCTCTTAGCCTCATCACCCTAATTGCTGCTTGTATATCCGATTTAAGACCTTTCATAAAATTCCCCTCTAACACTGTCTTAGAGAGCCGGTCTAATCTGCTGGCCAAGTACTCAAACCTGTCACGGTAATCTGCCACAGTCCCCTCATGTGTCAAGGCAAAGTATTGCTCATAGAAGTCTCCTCCCCTACCGGTTCGGAAACGTTCTAGTAAGAACTCTTTGAACTCCCTCCAGTTCCAGATGGATTGCTTCATTCTCATCATTGGTACCTTGTCAGTGCCTTCCCCTCTAAAGACAGCCTATCGCCGTCAGGTTTTCTTCCTACGTCAACAGCGAAATATCGTTCTACCTTGTAGATCCAGCTATGGCCATCCTCGGCCTTATAGATGGGCATCTTCAGCTTCCTCACCTTCGGGTTACCCCCGTTGCCCCTGAATCCTCCATAACCTCTCATTCTGCAAAGAGGTGCTCCCCACTTGTCTCGAACTTTCCACTGGCGATCATACCCAAAACCATCATCAAATTCCCCTCTTCTTCTTTCAAATTCAGCACGTTTGCGACAGAAATCTTCCCTTCTCCCTACAAAATCAGCAGCTCTTCTGTCCAAATCAGTGCTTATCTCCTGCCTAGAAAGTGGTTCTAGAGGAAGCATTCCATCTTCCCCCTCCAAGATCTCCACTTCCGGATTTTACCTTTCCCCTAAGCATGTTAGGGTATCCACCTCTTCCATGGTCGCCGATAGTTTCCCTTCCTTCCGATGTCACCAGATTTGTCTCAGTCGTCACTTTTAGCAATTTCCTCAACATATCTTCCATCACGACGAATTTTTCTTCCATCCTTTCATTATTGGCTGAAATATGATTTTGGAAATCAGAAAATTTTTCCTCCAAATCTGATTTTTGTTGCTCAATTTCTCCTTCCAAAACTTCAACCTTCTTCTCGGCCATATTTCTTCCCAAGCTTTATGAGAAGATCTTCTTTCGGATGAAATTGCTCTGCTGAAATTTTAGAATTTTAGCCGCCGATGGTCTTAAGACAACGCTCTAATACCAATTTGATAGGAAATACTTGATTTTGCAAGAAACCTAGCAGTGATTGGTGAAAAACAACAAGAAAACTGCTGATTACAGCAAAAAACAGCAACAGTACAGCAACCATATTGAGAAATATGAAGAAAATTGAGAGAAAAACGAAGAATTTCACCAGTGGATGCAGGAAAACAACAAACAATACAAGTTTCTTCAATTCGAGAGGAAGAAATAGCTCACCAAATCTCTAGCCAAGCTTAGAGCCCAAAGAAACAAACCCTAGATCTCAAATTTGACTTCAAACTCAAGATGAAAACCCTAATTCTCCCAAATGAACTAATTAAAATAAAGAGAACAAATACAAATCCCTAAATAACCAAAAATTCAAATTTTCCATCCTAAAGCAAGTTTAATTAAGTTGTGGTCCCCATCTCTCCAACCGGCCCCTCTCTCTCCTCCCCTTGGTTCTACCCCCTCCTCTTGTAGCAAAAAATCGGTCCAAGTTGGACCGTTTCAACTGGCCCTAGGGCCGTCCTAACAGTTAGTTAAACAAAGATATAGAAAAAGTAAGGATTACGTTCAAGCAAAGTGTATTAAGGATGAAGATCAAAAACTATTTTTTATTAGTAAAATTTTCAACAAAGGTCGAAGATATAATTTGATAAATTTTTCAATGAAGATTGTGAAAATATAGTTGACTTTAATGATCGTAGCACCTTAAATGAAAATAGATATTTTTATTTTTAATGTCGTATTAGTAAAATCAAAGTTAGAATGACTTTAATAAAAATGTATGATGAAAAATTGTTAAACCTGATGATATTCAGCCGTGACACGTTCACTAAAAAAAATTCTTTTGTAGCTAATCATTTAGCGGGAAGAATTGAAAAACTCAACAGGAGGGAGGAGAAAGAAATCATAGTGACTTGGTCTCAGGCATCTACCATTATACCCACAATGATTGGCCATACAATCGCTATTCATAATGGAAAGGAACATTTACCTATTTATATCACAGATCGTATGGTCGGTCACAAATTGGGAGAATTCTATAGGGTTGTGGGGAATAAGTGTGTTGATTCCTAATTTTAAGAATAAATATGATGCATAAGAGTGAATTATTGAGGAATTAAGTTAATGTGTCATACATTAAAATTATGGGATAGAGTTATAGAGCTTAGGTTACAATGTGAAACTAATTTTTATCAGAATTAATTAGGATTTATGCCCAGTAGTTCTACTATGAAAGTTATAAATTTTTTGAGACGTTTGATGGAGAAGTATAGAGAGAATAAAGATGATCTACATATAATATTTATTGATTTAGAGAAAGCATATGATAAGGTTCCAAGGGAAGTGCTATGAAGAGTTCTAGAAAAGAAAGGAGTTAATAATGATTATATTGAAGTCATTAAGGGTATGTATGCAGGAGCTATTAGTTGTGTTCGAACATAAGGTGATTTGACCAAATATATTCCTATTTCACTTGGATTACATTAATATTTGAAAAAGTTGAATTATGGTGGTTAATCTTATAGTCTAAAGTTTTTCACTTTTATAGATATAGAATTGAATACATAAAGTTAAATTTTAGTAAAAGTAGATCCAGTGGAGGGATTATGACTTTGGCCTATCAAATCATTTATAAGAGTACAGTTTTAGATATCTTAGGTCTATTGTTCAAAATGATGGTGAAATAGATTAAGATATTATTAATAGAATTTAAGTTGTATGGTGAAGGGAAGGAATGAATCGAGTTTATTGTGTGATAAGAAAGTACCCCTCAAACTTAAGGGAAAATTCTTCGAGATGGTGGTGAGATCTATAATGCTTTATGGCGCAGAATGTTAGCCATTAAAAAGAGAAATATAAAGTTAAGTATTGCAAAGATGAGAATGTGCAGGTGAATAAGTGGCTTCACTCTTAGTGACAAAATGCAATATGAGTACATGCATGAAAAGGTTAGAGTATAATAGTTGACAAGATTAGAAAGAGTCACCTTAGATGGTTTGGACACATAAAGCGTCGGTCTTCCGATGACTCGGTTAGGAGAGTAGATGTATTGAATTTGGTCTATGTTAAGAAATGTAGAGGTAGACTTAAAAATACTGGCAAACAAATATTAGAATTGTTCTTTTTATTTTGTTTATAGCCAAACAAGGCATTGAGGAAGCTATAAGAGAGATTGGGTGATTGTCTATAGAAGGGAGATGGTAATATATTTTGGGGTATGTTTGGAATTACACCTCTATGTACCAGGTGTTTTAGCATTTCTGATGTTTGAGATCCATTCTTGAGCCTATACCTCCCGGATGAATCCTACTTCAAGCAGCTTGTTGAATTTTTTTAAGTGGGCTTTCTTATCTTGTTAGTGACTTTAGGTTCTTTGTTTCACTGGCTTGTTGCTTGAGTGTGTGCATTCAAGTGGTGGTAAGAAACACTCAGGTTTATCTTGGGCATGTTAGATCGATCTTATGCATCAGGTTATTTTGTAACGAAGTTATTAACATGATTAAGTAGTTATCTTGTAGTATAGAGTTGAATTAGAAAGTCTAAATAGTGTCCATCAAACATGGGAACATCTGTTACACCCTCAACGGCAACAGCCCTTCGTGGTTTTCATATTTGTATCTATGAAAATTACATTTACATTATATTAATTAACAATTTTGGATTGAAGCTTGCCTTCGTCGGCCATCATGATCTTGAGTTGAAAATATTATTGCATCATGATCTTGAGTTGAAAATCTTATTATTAAATGGTAAGATAATATTGTGGCTTAGAATGGATTTAGACGGACCTTTCTTAGATGGCATTATAAATTGAGTAACCTATGATGCTTTGAGGACCACAAAAGTCCGCGTACTTGATGTTGTAGCATCGATGATCACTTGACAGTACTATAAAGTTGATAAGTCCTCAGGATCTGTAGATTCTTTGTTGAAGTCAACCAGAGACATCCCCACAGATGAAGCTTCTTTTGGTCAATACACAAATCTTTTTAAGGTGTAGGGGATGAAGATGTTGATTTAGCTACCCTATTTAATGAGGATGCGACAAACCTTGAACTTATATATTACTTAAAGAAAATCATGTTTTTCAAGGCGTTGTAGTTGTGAGGCAAACCATCATTTGCAAATACTAACAAGTGATGTGACTCAGGCCAGATTTACTTTTGTAGTTTTAACTCATCTCAAATTTTATCGCCAAGAAGCTTCCACCCACCTCCATCTCGCGTCGCTCTTTATGGTGTTGTAAATCAGGTTGCTAGCTATATAACTTTGTGGCGGCCTTCCTCTTATTGGTCTAGGCATATTTCTCCCAAAAACTTCTACAAGCATCCCTCTTTTATGGACTTCTCTACTATGGCCTTTAAATGGTGGTAATTTTTTTATCTCATGCTTGTGGTCGCTGTGAAGATAATAGAATTTATTGGAGTTCCTCCTGTCTAGTAGAGCTTAGATTTTACAGGGATTCGTAAAATACTTGTAATTCTGAATAGCTGTTAAGATCGCAATTTAAGTCTGATTAAATGGTGAAAATGGCTCGAAAGGGGATGATGAAAGTGGCTTTGAGCTTGTAAAGCCTGAAACGATAAAATCATTTATGACACTGTAACCTAATATATATTTTGTAATATGATAAATAAACTCATTGTTTTTGGTCAGTACTTCGTTAGTTTTCTTGATGTTATATTTTTAAGTTCTTGTACGGTCTGGACAATTCTGTTTTCTGGGCATGAAGTTTTTTTAGTGGATTTCTTATTTTTCATTTTTTTAGTATTGTTCGAGAAAACTAATTAAGATTATGCTTTGGTCTTTTGGTCGGTGTTGTATTTTGTTTTTTTATTTTTATTTTAAATCAGGTTGATCGGCATCCTCAGTTTAGAAATTCAAGATGCCTCTTTGTTGTGCGGACAGATGGTGTCTGGATTGACTTCTCGTATCAAAAATGCCTTCGAGCATACATTAAAGAAAAGTATCCTTCTCACGCTGAAAGGTTCATAAAAGAACATTTTAAACGCATCTGAACTTAAATTTTTGCATCTGATTGCTGGTGAAATATGACTTTCTTTTGGAGATCTGATTACTCCATCTGTTGTATGCAAAGCTTCCAAGCCATGTTATTCTAATATAGAATTTATGGAAATTTGTCTCTAAGATTAAAATATCATCGATATTTATTGGCTTTGTAGCTTATAGTGATCAATGCTCTATGTGGAGCATTGCACTCATGACAATCGAATGTTTAATTTTCAAATCAGGTTTACTGCAAATTTTATGCCGTGAGGAGAATCTGTCTGAAATGAACTGAAAATTATTATTATTGTATAATACACGATAAGATAAACCAAAATATACACTTACATTCAATCAATGAATTGAACCCTTAGCATGTTTAACTTCAAAGGTCACAAAAGACGGGAATGAAGCCCATGGGGTCACTTATTGGGAGTAGAAAGCTTGGTCGGCAATTCTTTAACCCGTTCAGCCAGCTATTTTATTTTGATTCTAAGACTACACAAAATCAATTGATTTCTAATAGAAAATCAGCTTTATTTAAAATAATCTCTATTTTGAGTTGTAATCACTTGTGCGTTTGTGGTAATCTAAAATCAATATTCAAAATAATATTACATAACATAGCATCCTTCAACTCTTAACAAATAGGAATTATGGTTGACTAATTTACTTTATTTATGTTAATAAATTGTTAAGCTAATCTACTTTTCATTCAACAACAATAGTAAAATCTTTACAATTAAGCAAATAAATTGTGGCAATAATTAAAGAACTAATAAGATTTTATTCACCTAGCCTTATAAAAAAAAATTCCTTGACGTATCTCTACCTTAAAATGCCTTTCTTAGCAAGTAAGTTGATACAACCTATTTACCTAAAAAAAAAAAGTTGATGCAACCTAACCTCTTCAACGTAGGAAAATCCAAAACCTTAAAAAAAAATAATTATGAATGAGCTAGTTAAATATTCTCTTTTAATAATGAAGACTAAAGGAAACTCTTCAAGAATTTCTTACTTAACCAAAAAAGCTTTGCAAATTTCTTTTGTATGTATCATAAGACGACTGCTTCACATTATAACTCAACAACTCAAAGCAATTGAATGTATGTAGTTATGGATCACCACTTTCATACAACAATAGATATATTATTGGTCGTCTGAATTCGCAAGTTAAACATAAGAAAGAATTTGTTTACTCTATATATACAATTCATATTTCTTACTAATTAATATGTGAAATTGTTAATGCTTAAATTGATACAGCATATGGATATCCAAAGTGAATGATCGAGAATATATAATAGAGTATTTGCTTTCTTGTGAAAATATGTCAAGAGTTTCTTTCAATGAAATTACACTCTTATATTCGAAGACTATTTATAAAAATTTGTTACAAATGAAATTTATTGTAATTCAAATATTTATTCAGATTTGCATCGAACCTTACTTTGAACTTCATTTGAATGTAGTTGAAACCCGGATTCTAATAATGGGATTCTCCTCGTTCTTCAACACCATCAATCTTGATTAAAAAAATATTTTGCTTCACATGGGTTGACTCTAACTGACAACCATTCCAAGGCTCGAATAACCACTGACCCACTTCTTCCACGATCCATCACGTAACTGTCCCACTCATCACACGCAGATGTTCTCTTCCTCTCATGCACACAAGAAACAAAAAATAGAGGGGATTCTAAACTTACAAGCACAGTCGACCCAGCCTTCGACAGTCGATGTCCGCCTGCTCTCTTCTGTGCGAACCTCGTCCATCGAGCCCGACTCCTGTTGTCGAGAAAATTGACCTCCTCCAAATTCTTAGTTGACCTGACCTAGCCAGTCCTTGGCTTGTCACCTTTTCCTCGGATTGACTTCAGCTTAACTTGCTGATGACTCCACCTGATCACACGTTGGACCTCAACCACCGTGCCCTAGCAACAGCCACCGACGCCTGCCTCTTCTTCCTCTGCATAGATCTCAGTCGCTAACGGATTTTCAAGGGGAATCAAAAATATTTTTTTTTTTAAATAAAAATAAACAACATAATCAAATAAATTCAAACAGGTGAGAAGATTTAAAGGAAGTCCCGGGGTTGACCCGGTCCTTCGAAACCTTTGGTCGTCAAGCTGATTCGACTGAGGGATTGAAGACTTAAAGACTTGATCGCTCTCCAAATCTCTTTGTTGTTGATTTGATCCGGCCAAGTCGAGCAAAAAGGGTGAGTGCCCACCCAAACCTCCCGTCATGGGGAGGGTGTGCCGAAAGGCTGCCAATTTTTTTTTTTTAAAATTAATTTAAATTTAAAATAATAATAATAACATGTATCATAACAAATTAAAGATTTGAAAGAAATCCTAGGATTGATTCGGCCTCCCAAAGCCCTTGGCCGTCGAGTTGATCCAGCAAAGGGATTGAAGACTCGATTGCTCTCCCAACCTCCTCGCCATTGATTTGATCTGGCCAAATCGAGCCAAAAGGGCAAGTGCCCTCCAAAACCTCCCCTCGCTGGGAGGGGGCGCCAGAAGGCTGCTGAATTTGTAAGGGGAATAAAAGAATGTTTTCAAAATAAAATTAAATAAAATTAATCAAATAAGATCACAACATATTGAAGACTTGAAGGAAGTCCAGAGATTGATTCGGTCCCCCGAAGCCCTTGGCTATCTTTCTGATCCGGTTGAGGGATTGAAGACTTGAAGATTCTTTATGAGATCGATTCGCTCTCCCAATCTCCTTGCTGTCGATTTGATCGGCCAAGTCGAGCCAAAAGGGTCCAACCTCTCCTCGTGGGGAGGGGATGCTGGGAGACTACCAAAAATTTTTGTAAATAATAGGGGACTTGAACAACAAAATTAAAAATTGATTTGAACATAATTCAAACATAAAAAAAAAAAAAATTGAAATCAAAATTGATCAAATAATGTTGGACTTGGACTCAAAATCGAACTTGAACTAGACATGCACTCAACAATACTATAAGAACTTAAATTTTAATAAGCCACTTGGAATTGAATTTAAACTAAAATATAAGGAATTGAAACTTAAATTAATAAAAATACAATCAAGTTGAAAATATAATTGCTAAGTGATAAATCCAAGTCATTCAAAAAAATATCTATCGATACAATAAGGGGGCCCTCACACCATCATATTGCTATTTTAATTGATTTAAAATAAATACAACATTAATAAATAATAATCACTTGGAAATTAGTGATGAATGCAACTTTTGAGTACAGTGCAATCAACGGTGGTGGATATGCTCTAGTGTAATAGATCTCTTATAAGTGAAGAGAAGCAATGTGCCACAAGCATAACAGTTTGATGCATTCAATAAGTTCGAAGTGAATGACATCTATGCACAATCAATTCTATTCAACTCTAAACAAGTTTGTTAATTTGATTGCAAATAACAATATTTCATGTATCATGCTTACGAGTATATGTGAAAGCTCTTACGAGTTAGTGTAGAAGACTCCTTATTTATACAATAAACCCCTACAGATAAAAGAACTCAACATGCAAAGAATGTAACAAGTTGCAATGAACACGACACTTCGTATAAAGGAGACATGCCATACACATAAAATATCGTGTATGAACAAGATATTAAATGAATACAACAATTATAAAAGCCTACGAGCCATTGAAGGAGGCTTATTATATGTTCAACACGATGTATGTGGACAAATGTGAAAGGACTACAACACATCTATAAGAAGCAACAAATAATACTTTTAACACCGCCGCATTCGCATTATACTTAACCAAGCTAACAAAAGGTATTTATAAGCCCTTAAATGAAATCTTGGACATTTCTAAATGAAATCACTAGCACAATGGATCATATTTAAATATTTTAAAATCCTCTTTTATGTATTAAATATGGTCCCACTAAACTGAAGTGCAAAATCCCTACATGTGCTTGGACAAACATGTTAAAATTACAAACACAAATGTCTGAGAATGCTGAGCAGGATCAAATACTCAAGTCTCATCATCCTCCTCAAAAGGATCGGAGTCGACATGACTTAAATTGCAAGATGCCTTCTAAATTTCTACAAAAATACAAGTGAGTTTAACATCACCCTAATGAAGGTCATGTTGACGCAAAATCTCAATCGGAGGGATCAAATACCAAAACTAACAAAAGTCTAAATTCCTAAGATGAAACCTATCACCTAAAAACTTGAAACTAAAACTCATCCACCTCTTGCAATCGTTTATCGATGGTGATAATTTTTAAATTAACCTCAGCTCACAAAGAGCAAATGTATATCGGGTGTATCACTAAAAATTATTCTCAAATAATCACTTGCCAGCATAGATGTGCAACATGCCCTCCGATAAGGTGATTTTGTTGCAAAATAACACAATTATATTACGATCACGGCCAAAGCCTATATGTTCCATAAAGGTTTCAAACCCTTGAATAATGAATCATAGGGTAGACATAAAGCCCTATGTCAGCAAAGGTTCATTTAAATATATCTCTTTAGACAAACTCCAACCCAACTCTACAAGGTATATTGGATGAAGCAACTCATGGTTGCCAATAAGGTGCCTTTTGTCAGATTGGATCGACTATAATCTCTAACTAAGTAGACCAGGGAACATGGTCACCCAAAATGATAGAATCATGGGAACTTGATCGGGCTTGTCTTCATTCCCCCCACCACTAGTTTTAAGTTAATGGTGTAAATTTTAAACTATAAAAATCAAATTCAAACCCTAAAACTGTTGTTATTATACGTTGGATTTACAACCTATATAACCTCTTTAATGACTAGCCTTAATCAAAAGTTCTCTCTCATTATCAGGAGGGATAATTAACTATAGGGACTTGCGCCTATAAGAAACCAGAACTCAGATCAAAAAGTTCTCAAAAAATTAGGGTGAAATCTCTAGGTAGTATCTTATCTAAAACCCAATCTACCTTATGAAAATTCACTCAGAAACTAAAATTGTTAAAACTCTCCACTATCATTAACAAACAAAAGAAAAACATATATGACGCGGAGAGGACGAGAGCGTAATGGAATTTTTGGAGCCAACAAATTTATGGCTACTCTGAAATTACTAAATGACAAGAGGGGGGGGGGAATTGTGAAAATTTTTTTCTCAATAAAAATAACCCTAAATAGGAGTTCTAATCTTTTTGTTATTCTTTTGAAATTTTACAACAAAATTTTAAGCAAGGTTTCTTCCACAAATTTTACCATGCAATAGTTATGAAAATTAAATGCAAGTAAAAAGTAAATGACGATAAG